ATTACCTAATGAACCTGAGGTATTTCAAGCAAAACAAAACAAACAAACAAAAATATACAATATACAAGTGCCTCAAAATTATTAAATATTGAACAGTAACATTGGGAGCTTGAGGTAGTTGAAATACCTGTTAATGTTAGGTAACTTACAGAGTGAACTTAAATTGATTGATTAAACCAGACTACTTTAGGCCCGGAAGTAGGATTCGTCACGTCATCACTTAACAATCGGATACCCAGAGAGACGCAGACAGCTAACTATAATATTTATGAAAACTGGTCCAGCCACTGAAGGGCAAAAAAGGTGGTGTCACAGTAAAAATTATTTTAACATTAACTAAAATGGAAAGCTTGAGTCATGTTAAATCTAAATAATAATTTTTAAAAAAATGAGTCAGCCAATTATTCTTGACTTGTCTGGAGACAGCAGAAACCAGCTAACAAATAAATTAAAAATTCTTTCTAAATAAAAACGCAGAGTATTTTGAAAAACATTATTTTAATAAAAGAAAACATGAGTTTTAATACTTACCACAGAAATTTGAAGGCAGTTTCTCCAACTCCAGAGTCCAAAATCTAGATGAAGCCTGAAACAAGTCTAATTGCTGCTCTTGCTCTTAATTTTCCCTCCTTTTGGGGTTCTTTTTCCCACAGTGCATTGGAATAGTTGAGAAATACAGAAAAATACCTGTAAATGACTAATACGGAAAATTCCTTCACATTTATACAGTAGATTACTGTACTTTTATGGATTTTTCTTACAGTGTAGGAATACTGATTTCCATAATGCGTGTCTGGAGCACTCTGGTGGCATAAGTAGGTAGTGCTGAAAGGTCCAATTTTTTAAAGCACATTTAAAACCACAGAAGTCCACACAAAGTGCTTTCCAGGCAAGTGCATTCATTATGACCCAAGTATAGACATGACCATCTAACAGAGGAACTGGGCTGCACTGATCTCCTCCCCATTTTCATGTAGAAGAGGCCTCTTCATCACGTATCTTAGACCAGTACTTGACTCCAATTGTGAGGCCACGTGGCATTTTGAATGCTATTTTAAAAATTAAATCCACCATTTATCTAAGCATTTAGGCAATTGTGTTAGATATATGTGAATGTAAACCTTGACAGTGAAGTCCCAACTTTCTCACTTGCTCATTGACGATGCTTTTCCTTCGTGTCAAAGAGTCGCTATTTATCTGTAAAAAACAGAAACTGAAAATGAAAGCAGAACTTATAACGGCGAAAGGGCCTGTGAGTCTGACCGGTGAGCCCACCGGAGAGATAAAGGTAATTATTGGAAACAGTCTTGTGGTTGTTATCCATGACGCACGTATGCTAACACACCCCAAACTCGAGACAGAGCAACAGACCTGCATCGTTGTATGCCATGCAATCACCTGCTTGTCAAAAAAATATTTATTGTTGGGTTTTGTTTGTTTGTTTGTTTTACCACTGAACTTGCAAACGTGAATTTATCTTTACAGCTACAGAACTTTCTGTAGCAATGACACATGGCAACAAAGTGTTGAGCCAAACTTGTAGAGATTCGAGATGACAAAGCAGTGAGATACGTCAAGATGCGTTCCAGAAATAAAGTTTCAGGTTCTGAACACTGCGGTGACAGTCACTTGTTACCTTCAGAGGTGGCGCGCCGTGATCGTATAGTGGTTAGTACTCTGCGTTGTGGCCGCAGCAACCCCGGTTCGAATCCGGGTCACGGCATTTTATCCATAATCAATAGGCGTTTTCTTGAGGAAATTTAAGGAACATCTTTGTTAAATTCATAATAGAAATAAAGAAAGAAAAGATAAATCACAAACCAAAACACGTTTACAATCCATTGGACCATGAAAGCAAGTTACACACTAATGAACTTCCACCCGAAACTCTTTAAAAGTTGATTCTGTTCATCTGGACCCGAAACCGCACACTTCAGTTTGAAGGGTGAAAAACGACTCCTAAACTTTTTTTTAATGTCGGGGTGACGATGCTTCACTATATGTCACACCATTCCTACAATCAACCCTCTTGGGTGGCCAGCCGTGATCGTATAGTGGTTAGTACTCTGCGTTGTGGCCGCAGCAACCCCGGTTCGAATCCGGGTCACGGCACACACTTTTGAAGCAAATATTATCACACACTGTAAATCAGTAACGGCGGAGAGACGGCTTTCATATGAGCAAAGTACAAATTCTACATTTAGCAAAGCAAAAATGAAACAAGGCTCTTACTATGTACCTGTTTGTGTGTAAATACCTTGCGTATTTTTTCTCAATGTGCCACCTCGTCGGACGTTCATTTCACATAACAAGAAGCTTTCTGAATTACTTGCATACATAAAGAGCGCTTACTATTATATGGAATTACCAGAACCTCTTTTCATTCCACTTTAGAGCTCCGTGGTTTATTTTGCGTGAATCGTCCGTATTGGACCACCTTTCAATCATAGATTCCCTTTTATGGCCATAGAAACAACAATTTTTTCCCCTATCAGATCCAGAAGTCACTGTAAACCACAAGCGAGAGAACATAAAACATATATAATAATGCATTTGATATCCAGACATGAAATATTAATTAAAGCTAAATATACTGTACTGAAATTCAAAACCTATAAAATCCCAAATAAAGTGTAATAACAATCACTGACCAGCAGATGTCGTGTGTGACCCTGTGTATAAAAGCTAGACGCACACTGTAAATTCATTAGTGAAGTACTGGTATGATAAGAAAGACTAATGGGCCAAACCTTGTTAGGTTTGATTAATGAATCAGCAGGCCCTGACACTGTATTATTTGCCAAACAGACACATGCGTATACAGTCAACAGCCAACACCTATTGCAGAGGCAAGGTGGGCACCGGGATTATAGCCCAGATCTCCGAGGAAAAAAAGGCTCCAGATTCCTCCACATCAGCTGTAGATTTCACTGTAAGTCACAGTTTACAAAAGTCTCTAGTCTCGGAGTTTAAAGAGGGGCTGAGTCTGGTTTATATTGTTCTTGTATTCCTGCACCAAGGGTTTTTGTTGTTGTTGTTGTTTGTCTTTCTCAAACAAATGGTCTCAAATACCCTGCTTGGCATTCTTTCACAGGAGTTAGTTGTTGGTTTTGAGGTGTCTGTGGAAATACTGCATTATTATGTAAAGTGGGTGCTTTTTAGGGAACCTTATCTACTGGCTAGCATAAATGCATGTACATGTGGAAGGGCCTATTCTTTATAATGATAATGACATTTGCTACCTTAAAGGGGATGTGCTGTACTAATTTTCAACTGCATTATTTTCAACTCACAACTCAATATTGATGTTATTTATCTTATACTGATCTTGGATCAGGTCATCATCTGTCTGTGACGGAAAGTTGTTGACTTCAAATGGCATTATAACCCTTCCCAGACTGATGAGCGCCAATAGTCGCTTCTATAATATCAATGCTGATAGTTTATACACACAGACCAACAAACTGCCAAAACTTCTGCTTTCATAGGGGCTTATTAACATTTACATTCTGATGTTTTTGTCATTAGTACAGTTTTTTAAGTGTAGGACATCCAAAGTGGAATTTGTTACATTGTTACTACGAGTTACTACGCAATTAAGTTAAGGGACGCGCTAAATGTTCTAAACCTGGATACAACAAAGCGGCTACATTTGTAAGATTTTAAGTATCTACACATTCATTCATTCATGAGTTGCTGGTTTGTGTTTTGTGTGCCTGCGGGCAGGCTTTTCCTCCTCTCACTCTCCCCCCTCTTTCTCTTTTTCTCTCCCAGAAGCAGCCATATTGGAATGCTGGATGTGGAGAGGGGAAGCAGGAACAGGCGACGAGAGGGAGAGCGAGAAGGGGGAAACGGGCAGGAGCGAAAAAAAAAAACGCTATCTGAAAGTCCTTCCAGCTCTACAAGTGAAAATAACGGAATATTTACCGACCCTTCACAGCTTCTGTCGCCGGTAAAATCAACTCAAACCTCTCGGACGTCACCTGGAACAAGTCAGCGTGAGTGATGTTGTGTTTTGGGGGGATTATTTCAACAGCTAAAAGATATTACGGGAGATGCAGTTGGGTTACTGTTCAGTCCTGGCTGGCGCTAACTGTTTCCCTGCCCCAAGTATTTGGACTAATTTACTTACTTATTATTTGGGAAGTACCGGATAAGTTAGCTTAGCTTTAGGGCACCGTAACTAGGACATAGTTTACCTTTCGCTAAGTTGGAAAATAAATGTGACCTACTGCCACCAAACTCGTCGCCTCGGTCACATGGAGTGAATGTAGAGTGTAAGTTACGGTAAATAGTTTAACCGGATTAACCTACATTTATCTCCAGAAGTACTTTACGCATTTGTTTGTCCTCATTCTCCCGGATTCAGCTGCTGCTTTACCTTGATTGACCGAACTTAACTGAACTCACATACTTTCCACCTTAAAAGAGCACTTATGTTTCGTTTCCTCCTGTAATAGTGGAGAAATTCATAATAGTAAGTTTTTCTCAGTGTTTATTGGCCACACGAGTCTTATTTTATAAGATTTAAGATCTGATGTGACACGACTGCAATTCGTTTTTCCCCTTTTAACCAATAAGCTAATGCAGCATAACAGGGGCAGATGGCCAAGAGCTATGCAGGAATATACAGCCATTCATTGATTACTTTACTAAATGACATTTTTTTTGATAAACAATTTCAGGCTTTCCCCTCAATCTAAGTGCCAAGTTGTCTTATTTTTATCTTACATATGGGATTTCCTCGTTTTCTTTTAACTTTATGTAGCTTTAAATGGAAAAGTGATCGTTTTGATGGTTGTTAATCAGAGAAAATAAGATATTTGAGAGCATTGTATTGACTTGTAACCTTTTTTGGGCTTCTGGGGACTTGTCAGAGAGTTCATGAAGAAATAACCAGTTAAATCCATGGAAAATTCACGAAGATTAATTTTGTCCCTATGTTATGAACAGTCATTATATATGGACGCTATGTGTATATATAATAGGGGCATAAGCAGTCAGTGTAAAGTTGGACAAACTGTCAAATGCAAGTGAATCCCCTCAAAAGCAGCATACTCCGTTCTTTATGTTCCCAAGTGTGAAAGAGCTGCAGTGCTGAGCTTGCCAATCCTTCATATTTCACATGCAAGAAAATGCTAATGAATTAAAGTATCCTGAGGCCACTCAAGCTTTAAACCAACAGCATACTAATAAGGGTGCAGTCCTGCATATGAATATTTTTCAATCTGAAGCTCTGAATTGTGTACTAATAAGATCCAGGGCTCTAAATTGCAGTTACATTACAAATACTTTTGTTTTATTTCTTAATTAGTGAATATTTTGATTCTTTAAATTCATTTCTGTCCTCTTTTACTGATAAACTGATTTACTTATTCACATTGTGCATTCCTGGTATTTGAATAATGGCTCTTCTGATGAGATAAAAGTTGTTGCTGGGCCGACATCCTTCAGGCACTACCTCCTACACTGCAACAGCATAGTTTTAAAGCTTGTCAGATGCACATTTAGTTCATAATATCATCCGCAGTTGGCTGTTAAATAAATTTTCCTCAGGTTTGATTGTGAATGAGACCTCTTTGCCAAGCAGCTTATCCACCCAGTGGGCTTGTATTCACTTAGACTCCAGCTGCATTCATTCAGCTCCCTCACCATGACCTAAGTGCTTAACCACTTGAATAGTGGTCTTAAGCTGGAAATCGGTATCTACCACAATCAGTTTTTGTGGATATTTGGGAGGCAGATAACACGCGAGTGGGTCAGATGTGAAATCGGTCCGATTTGATTACATTAAAATTCTTTCCAGTCATGCTTGCTTGAGCCATGTGGTGATAGAGTCTAGCTGCTGTCTACTAATTTGGCATCATAAGACCAAATCCATTATCTCAAGTAGAAACATGTCATTACACTCAGTATGTGAAACGAGTGGAAAACAACCTTGTTTTTCTCAAAATATCTGACATGTTGAACCTCCTCTGGCTCTGGGAAATTCCTTGATATGGCACTTTAGGTTGGCTCTCAGCATTTATACCTTTGAGTGCTGTTAAAAAGTTACTGCTTTCAGTTTTTTCTTGTTTTTATTGAAATGAATGAATTTACTTTTACAGAGTCCAATAAATGGCTGCACCTTTTCTGGTCTGAACCTTCTACAGCCTGGTCTACAGCAGGCTAATACAGGCGTGGCAGTGGTGTGTGTGTGTTTCTGTGTGTGTAAATTGCGGCGCAGTGCAGGAGGCCTGTATTTATAGAAACACTTGACTACACTCAGAGACCTTACAGCAGCAGTGTACCACATTGCAGAGAGCTGTACTGTCTTTTCCTCTCCTGCAAGGTTTGTGCACTCTTTTTAGTTGTGGTGGGGTGTGTACTGAGTTTTGAAAAGGTTCTTCATACCGTCTTTGTGTTGCACTAAAATCTGTTTTAGTCTAGGCCGACTGCAAAAACAGGCAGACAAGACGGTAACAAAGCTGTCGGTCTCGCGTCTTTTAAATTGCAGTACGTGGTGCGACTCATAAGCGATAGCAGTCATTGCAGACACACATTGTGCATGTTGAGGTATGCAGAGTTCCTGAATGAGAGTGTGCGTGTGTCACGAGGAATCAGTAAGACTTAATGAAGTAATCTGAGCAGAAGGGGGGCGTTGGCAACTGTGCTTGTTTCATTGCTTGGTTTGGTCCTTTTTGAATAAGTTGTACTGTTTTCCTAGCAGACAGGGTGGCCCTCTTTTTTTCTTGTTTTCCTCCCAATGATTGGCTGCAATGTACCTGCTGTGTAAATATATGCAGCTGTGGCAGGTCTAAACTCCTTTTCCACACAACCTGCGCAAATCAACGATTCCTATTTGCAAGCTCACCTCAGGAAAGAAAAAAACAAGAAAAAGTGTGTGTTTAAGTGTCCCAAATCTGTAAATTCAGCTTCTGTCTTCTCGCTGAACTTATTCCCTTGCATCCTGCATGTGGTTTTAGCTGTGAAGGAAAATAAGTGTGTGTGTGTGGAGTGTTTGCACAGGAGACGAAAAGAACAGTCATTCCCTTTACTTGTGGATTGGCTGCATTCAGGAAGCAGACCCCACACCCCTCCACACACACACTAAGAGCATTTACTGTACATCCTAAAGCATGCTGTGTCCCTCAGGAGCTCAAAGGAAAACGCCCTCTTCCTCTCAGAAGCAGGAGAACCACTCAGACTCCAGCTGGTGTTGATGTGTGTGTCGTTGTGCGTCCTTGTTTGTGGGTTGCTTTTTGCTTTGATCGTGATTGAGATTGCTCAAGAAAATGCAGATAATTGTCTTGGGTTTGTCAGTTAGAAATGTCTCTGTAGTCCCTTAAAAAGTTGGGTTTGAGAAAAGTGTGTGGACATTCTCATGGTTAAAAATGTATGTTTGCTAAGCTTATAATGCCCAGATGACACCTTCTTCCACCTACATGTGAAGGCATGTGGATGGGTTTCTGTATTGTCTTAGCAGAGTGTGAGCGTGTAAACCTCTGCCTGCGCAGATTTACACACTCATATAATCACTGTTAACAACTATTGGCTAGTGGCTATGATGTGACTGATTTCTGGTCATGTTTTCCTCATCAGTCTGCTTTTAAGATTAATTATTTCCCCTATTGTTCTGGGTTTCTTTAGTTATTAAAACACAATACTGTGAAGTTGAGAATTTTTTTTTTTTTTATAAATTTGTGAATACTGATCTTAAGGAAGCAGATGTTGGAATAGTGCCTTGATTATTCCATCTGTTTAAGACTGTGGGTATTTTCTTATGAAAATCAGCCCCAACAGCTAACAGATACTGTGGCCCTGAACCTTTCTACAAATTCTCTGACAGAGGTTGATATGAGAATGCCAATGTCCGAAACAGCCAAAGGTATCATTAAATAGTATTTAACCTACCTGCTCCCAAACATAGCATCTCTCTGGTGTCTGAATGTGGCTGTTTTCTTTGGTAGTGCAGGTAATCGGGGGAAATTAGGGTGCAGCGGTGGAAGCATCCATGGGCAGCCTCGAACTCCCTGTCTACCTTCAGAGAGTGTTTATTGTCACATGATGGCGAGTGTTAAAAACAATGAAGTGTCAACTGTAGCCACAGTCTGTGCTTGGCGTTCTGTATTTTATTTTATTTTTTTTAAATCTTTGTACACAATGTACACAACCGCAGTGGCATAAATTAAGCATAATAGTCATTCAAGGTACTGATTGGGCGTCCAGTGCCCTGCTATCTGCGTGCTCTATCGAATCAGCTTTGCCCCCAATAAGAACATGCATATTTTCAGTAGTGAGAACTGTCTTCTGCTGTGTCTTACATGTGAGAGAGGAGCGCTTCAAACAGTGTCCTGCCTTGACATTTTCCAGGAATCATGTGTGAAAACGACTGCTGTCACATATTCTTCAGCAAAGCATCCTGTGAACAGATCGTGACATGGCAACACTTAAACAGAGAGCCACAACATAAGACCGTGGACAGTTTTATCGTCATCTGGACTGAGTTTTAGAAATGTTTAGCACCGTCCACATCTAAAAAATGTTCTCGCTGTGCGTCACTTTATAGTAGTCGGTGACTAGTGGATATCCTAATGTAGCTAACGACTGCTCCTGTGTCTGTCAGCGTCACTGCCATTTGTAATTGCTTATAATGGCTCTTCTAAAAGTTTAGAGAAGTTTAATACAGGATCCTTCCCCTTTGCTTTGCTGCTGGCTACTACACATAACTGAATGTCATTGACATCAAATGTTGTCTGTTTGCTACTAGTCATTTCTTGTGTGGATGCTCCATTATAAAAAAAAACATTGTGAACCAGTTTATTGACAGAGCTGAATCTCAGTGTGTTTGCTTTAGTATGTCTACGTTTGCACTGCACTCCAAGTGTAGTTTGCTTGCTGCAGCTGAAACTTACTACAATGGCAGGAAATGACATCATAGTTAATGACTTGCCCCTCCTTGGGGCATGCACACACAAGGACAGTCTCACACACACACATACATACACACTTGGAGTGAGGTACCTTCGGTCATGCAGGTCACTGGTGCATCATGTCAGCTAGTGATGAATGGAACTGAAATGCAGTATTTCCCTCTGGCGTAGAGATGCGAGTGTATGTGTGTGTATTTGTGTGCCTGTGTGTGCACAGTTGAACCAAAACGACTCGAGAAAAACTAATAACTGTTCTCACATTCCGTTAATTTTCCTCTGAGGTGTAACTGAAGTGTTGAAAATAACAATTAAAACCACAGATATTGTGAATCAGTTGCCCCTCTCCCACTTGGTGTGCGTATGTGTGGTGTTTGAGCGAACAGTGTAATTACACTGCAGTGAGTCAGAGGGGGGAGAGAGAAAGAAGTAATTGTTGGGCTTTGTCATATAGATGGAGAGAAAAGATGTGGGAGGAGGAGAAAGCTGGGTGGAGAAGACAGAACATTTTCTGTGTTTGTGCATAAATGCAGAAAACGTGACCTTTTTTCTACTAAACATCAACCAAAATATCTTCTTTTACCTTCATATGCAGGATGTTTTTTTTCACCTTGGTGGGTTCCTCTTACCTCCTGCTGTGTGGGTTTATTTGTCCAGTTGTTCGTTGCTCTGGTATCTCGGGATATGTTTCAGACGCCACTTCCTCTTCGTTCAAGCAAATGTTGTCGATAGTTACATGAGAAAATCAATACTAATAATACTCATCTCTGCCGTTTTAAATACAAATGGGGTTTCTGGCAAGCGGTTTGGATTACCAGATTGACTGGAAACAGGGAGAACAGCTAATGTGGCTATGTCTACAGGAAGGAAACAAAAACCTGTTTGGTTTAAACATCAGAAACCGTCTTTAAGTATACTGGCATGCCGAGTGTCTCAAAATTCTCTAGAAAGCGAACGTGAAGGTCCCAAACAAGTGTGTTGTTTCCTGATGAGCAGTGCACTCACTGTAAATGGTAATCTTCAGATGGCCACCTTTATTCTTCAACTCTCTTAGGCAATTTTTAGCCCTTCATTTGTGCAAAAATACAATTTTCATGTCTGACAAACTGTGGAATAATTGGCATTTTTCATAGAATCAGCTAAAGAAATGGGAACAAATGATGTGTTTTGGGGGGTGTTAGTAACAAAGCGCCCAAAAATAGTTTACTTTTGTTAATCTTGAATTGTTGGTGGCATAACAAAAAAACAAACAAAAAAGCATTCCTCTGAAAATGATCAGGTACACGGACTGGACTAAAAAAATGAAGCATCCAATGTCCAAAGGAAAAAAATTGAAATACCTTCAGAAATCCTGGAGAGCTATTCTTCAAATCCACCTTAAAAAACAACAACAACAACAAAACTCTAAGAAAGCCTACTAGATGTCTGCTTAGACATAAAAATATAAAGAAATGAGGGGTGGCTCTAGACTTTTGCACAGTGCTGTATCTGTATCACAGTGCTGGAGGTTCTCTTTGGGTCCCAGGCTAAAACATTTGTTTTCTATCCAGGAAAAGCCCTAAATACTAACAGATCCAGATGTAATGAATATTTTAAAACTTTTTTTATGTCTGATTTTTGGCTAAGAGAATGCATGTGCATGAGATGGCTAAACAATTAAATAATGTCTTCATCGTGTGTGTTACAAGACCCGTTTGCTGTAGTGTGGTTATTATTTTTAAATGATTCTCCCTTTGCTTTCCTCTTCATATTGACACATGCATAACAACATCCCTAAAGCTCAAGTAAGCTCAAGAACTTCAGTTTCCTTTACAGTGAAAGCCACACATGCACTGAGAACAGGACCAAAGCAGTCTTCAGTGTCTGTTTGGCCAATCATATGATCTCATTTGTTCACTAGATCCGTGCACAGCCACACACAAACATAAAAAAAACACAGTCATGGTGGATTATAAGGGGAAACACACAATGATGAGCAAAGAAACACCTGGATGAAAGCCATAGGTATGACATCACACTCAGAGGCTGGTATGCTACCATAAATTAGTGTGGCTGAGGTCAGATGTGGGTGTGATCCCACAATGTCTGCTTGTGGGTCAATGTATATGTGTCTGTCTGTGAGATTAGTCACCAGCAGGCGCACTCCGGTAACAAAGGTTCATTGAAGACTTGTTTGGAGGCTGTCTGCCTCTCCCTCTTTCTTTGTCTGGAAAAATGTTTTTGTCATTATATCAGCAGTAGCATTGCACAAAATACTTGGAAAGCCTTTTTTTCTTCTTGTAGCAGATGGGATCATTTTGCTGAATAAAATCCAGCATCATAGACATTTAATGGCTACAAAACACGCTTTATTAGACCACTAAAGCTGCTCCTTTTATGTCATCATATGGAAAAATTTGGAGGTGATACATGTATTTGACGGGTTTTGACTGTTGACATTAAATAGGGGGTCACTTCATCACTTATAAACCCAGAGGGTAAAATAAGCAGGGAAAAAACACCAGTAGTGATTCTCAAATTGTGAGCTTCATGCCCCTAGTGGGACATGAAGGTACTGCAGGTGGGCTATGACTGGTCATTTATAATTAATAGATTTCAAAAGAAATAATTCTACTGAAATTTTTTTTACATTTTAAAAAATTTAAATTGGTGTGAATATATAATTTTAAGCATTAAACATGTTTCGAGTGGCTGACAGTTGCATTGGATCTTAAAAAGTTCTCGTAACATTTCAGCACATGGACTACAAGCAAAGCAACAAATCTAAAATATAGTTCCAAACACATGATGCAAACCCATAAATTCAGTAAACGAAATAATTCATAATATAAAAATATAAAATACATGAGAGGTGAGAAAGTTGAAGCCTGAAATGCCAACATGTGAGTACTGCCACAGTTAGCTGAATAGCATTATGTATTGGATAACATCTACAGTCTACTCACTTCATCAAATAACAACTTGCGATTTAATGAAAACATTTTAATTGCCTGAACTTTTACACACAGGACAAATTAATGCGTTGTGTCAGCAGTTTAGGTAGACCACACCATAAAGGCTAGCTAGTTATGAGCCGAACTAGAGTAAAAACAGCCTACAACAAGTAGCCTCCATATTATACTTTGAAACTATATAACTGGAAAGATAACGCGCTGGGCTTTTTAAAACTCTGGTATCTTGCAGTTATGTGTTACGCCTGCAAGATAAAATCTGTAACACATCAGTCACACTAACATTTATCCAAACCGTGAGAGGCCGTTTTGTTGTCTGTTGCTTATCTTTCTATTGAAGATTGAGCTTCCTTTGTTGTTGTTTGTTATTTTGGAAAAGTGGAACCACAGTGGCAGTGGAACCCTGTTAGAACCCGTGTTTTATTTTTACGTGGATGGCTGCGAAAATGTTGGTCGCCTTGGTGAGAGAGAGCACGGCAAAGAAAAGACGATCCCTTGGCCAATATATTGGGTGGAAATATCAGGTCCTGACATTTTTATGGTTGTTACTTTGACACCTATCACGGTCAGGTGGTTTTAATGTCGAGGCGTGTATCTGTTTGTATTACAGGTTATTTGAAAATGCATTGCCACTAGAGGGTGATGTTAGCACACCTCCTCTCAAAGAAAGGATGCCTGCACTGAGCAAGCCAGAAAGATGTAAGGACCGAGCTTAGAGCCACCTTCTAAATGAGAGTCAGAGCAGGGCTGTGTGTGTGTGTGTGTGTCTTTGTGTGACATCTTGGCCCACTAATCCAGTGGCCCATTAATCTGCTTTACTCCTGAGCAACTCTCGTGTTGTCTGCCCGCCTGTTTGCTTGATTTTGTGTGCGTGCGTGTGTGAGAGCTTGACTCTGCCACGGTTCATAGACTTCGCTGATTGTCCAGTGTGACAATATACTGTGACATAGTGGATTTAATATTAAGGATCAGTGATAATCTCTTTTGATTTCATGGCACTTGGAAAACAGCCATATATAGAGAAGTTGCAGGGACCAGATTTCTGCTTCACTTCTGATGTTCATGCTTGCACAAACTTACCAAGCTTGACATCCTTTATAGCCCTGAGTAGTTTAACTTCAAGCAATGTCTCTTTGAGTCTGGAAATAAATGGCATGACCTGAGACAGCAGACTATTGCAAGTGTGACTGTTTGATTATAGCACTTGACATTATTATTATTGATTCAGATGTTTTGGGGTGCTTCATCACGCTGCGTATCTGGCAGGAAATCAAGTGCAAATGCGTAAAATCTTAAAATTAAGGCAGATTTCCATGATTATTAGTTGTAAAGCCTAAAGCCTCAATTACACTTTCTGCTCCACATGATTAAAATTTTATCGTCTGCCAAGATCTGTGAGGGTTTGCGAGTGCCAACAAATATGTGAGCGCAGGTTTTTGCAGACACGTACTATATCAAAGTTTAAACACAATCCCACATGTCTCTTGTCCATGTTTTTGGGCGTAAGTTCGACGTAGGATCAGTGATGTCAGGATACAAATAACCTGATAGAAAATCTCAAAGAACTACCAAAAAAATAAGCGCATCTTTTCAACTTATAATCACAAAACTTTAATATCCCATTTAACATATTAGTGTTTGTTCTCCTTTGCTATTATGCCAGTTTGATTTATGAAGTAATCAGTTGGTTTAAGCCCATTTGGATGAGGAGGTGGCTTCATGCTCCTCTATGTCTCTGCGTGGAAGTTTATTACAGTATAATTGGATTAAATGTGTAAAGTCGGTGGAACAACTGACTCCAAGTCTCTTTTTTTTTCTGCTCCAAAGATGGATGATTTCTGCGGGACGGTGTCGAGTTGAAAACACTACATTATGACTAATTGAGTAACACCACAGGGGGGGGCATGTGTGTGACAGGCAGAATAGCCAAAGGGAAAGCAATGCACACACATTCATATTCATTTCTCTCTTATGTCATTCTCAGCTGTGTCTTTTTGCAATTATCTTTTTTCAGTTTGTTCTTATTGATATTTCTGCACGGTTTTCTCTCATTTTACTCCCTTTTTTTTGTTCATGTCGTCTTGCAGTTATTACATCATTTCTTATGTCTTTCCCTCCTCACTTGTTTTGCCTCTATCTCCTGTACATCTGGCTCCCTCTCTCCCCCCTCCTTCACTCTCCTGGGGACAAAGACACCCACGTCTCCTCCTCCTTCCTTCTTTTCTCTCTTCCGTCTCCCTCCCCCCTTTCACATCCATAGGCTGCCTACTGCTCCGCTTTCCCTCCCTCCTTTGGTTCTTCCCTCCACTCGAGTCCCACTCCTCGTGCTGCTTGCTGTGTATCTGTGTGTGTCAGTGTAGTAGAGGTTTGTAGTAGAGGGGGGAGGCGGAGGCTGTGAGCTTAAGTCGGCATTATCCATCATTACAGAGTTAGCTGGCTAGCACAGCGCTAGCCCAAAGACCACAGAAGCTGGGGCTTTTCCCAATTTAGCTGTCCTTTAGAGGAAGATTGGATCTCTTCTCTTCTCTTCTCTTCTCTTCTCTTCTCTTCTCTTCTCTTCTCTTCTCTTCTCGATATTAAATGGAAGGACTATACCATGGTAAGGCTTTTAACATGCTGTTGTATGCAAATTCTTTTTTCTTTCCGTGTTAAACCATTATATGCATGCATGTTTATCCATATCTAAGAACTTTTTAGGCAGTCAATGCCTAAAAAGTTGAAGTAGTTGTGGATTTGTGTATGTGTGTGGTCACTATCGCATTCAAACACACAGTGTCCGAGTGGTTTAGTTCTTTTGGCTTCTTGCTGTCATTACTTTGAATAACTATTATAAACTAAAAATTATTGTTGGTAAGTGCAGTTTTCTGCTGGTTATAATAAATATGATTATAAAGACGAGCAGAGGAGGGGCTGTAAAGAACGCTTTAGTGGTTCATATAAGTTTTAGGTCTGGAGCAGGTTCTACTAATGTGAAGGTTAGTGGTTCAATCCCTGGTTCCCCTGGTCTGCATGTAGACATGCTCCCCAGTGCATACGCTGGTGTGTTTGTAATAGATATACACAGTGTTCAGAATAAAGTGCTGTGTGAATGTGGCATGGAAACTGGTTTGAAAAGTGTTATATAAGTACTAGTGCACTACTAAATGACAATGCGCAGGAGGAAGAGGGCAGAAAACCTGTGAATACACATGCTTACTTATTTACAGTCGAGCTGAGGCAATTAGTTCAATTAATCAGATTAATTGCTCAAATTGTTCAACAAAATCATGAGCATTTGTTGGGTTTCAGATACACACACACACACACACACACACACACACACACACACACACACACAGAGATTTGAACAAAACAAAATATTTCAAGGTATTATTTTTGAGCACTAAATGGAAGATTGATGATAATTGCTATCTTTGTGCAGTCCTATTTGAAACCCTATTCATTAAATAATCTTCTCTCTTATCCACCTAAGTGTGTGGTTTTTTTGTATGTAGGAGGCTTCAACTTCAAGTGTGTGTGTGTGTGTGTGTGTGTGTGTGTGTGTGTGTGTGTGTGGGAGGAAGGCAGTACGTGTTTGTGTTTGAATACACGTGTGCATCCCAACATAGTTCCCACTGCAGGCCACGTGGCTTCGTGTAGGTGTTGGTGTGTATTTGTGTAAGTGTTCTCTCCCTGTTTGTGTATTCTGTGTGCACATGTTGGCATGAACTAACAAGTCCCCTGCAGCGTTTTGTTTCTGGGTTAGATCATCTATATTTTAGTGTGTATTAAACATGTCGATCTGTGCTTATAGTGGATGGAAATTCTTCTAAAGAGGTATCTCTTAACAACTTTCCTCCTGCACACGTTCATGAAAAATGCATGCAAGCAAGGTGCTGCTCCTTTATCTGCGTTAACATTAAAGAAGCTGAGCTGGCGATCAATTACCTCTGATTTCCGGTAGAGTCACAAATTAGTGTGTTTAATTTGTAGAGTACATCCAGAAACAACAGTTTGACCCATGTCGTCTAATCTGGCATCCTTTGGATAACGAAAAACTTCAATCAAAAAGGTGAAATGTTGGATTGAAACTGTGTTAATAATGGATATGTAGTTAATTATACATGTTAGGACGCTGGTGCGCGGTCTGGTACAAATTGTACCATCTAACGATCATTAAGTAGAGCCACTAAAGCGCTTGAACTCAGTGGCCAATCAGAAATGAGAATTCATTTTCAGCCTTCCTCCCAGACAAGGTAAAAGGCACATTCAATATTTAATGGAAAGTGTGATTTTTGCCTTAATCAGAAACATGCTGGTCTCTGGTTAAGCAAGTGTAGATATGTTTCACCCACAGCTGGGACTGCACTATAAACTGAGTATTTTTGTCACATTTGTTTGGATGTTTATTAAATAACACATGCAACCTTGGCGTCATTTAAAGATTATTTTGAAGCGCTATCTCACCAGTTCACACGCCCTAAATCTGTTGATTTGAATTACGCATAGCGTATCTGCTCTGAGCGTGATACATTTAACATGCCGCTCCAGTAAGCCAGTTAGCTTTATCAGTGCACCTGAACGATACACACTCGAGTGAATGTGTGCACTTTTGCAGATAAATGTGTGCGAGCAGTGATGCGTTAACGTGGCCTTATTATGTTTCATGCGTGTGGGGCTTATCTTGAGTTTGCCTCATCTGAGCGCGCGTGTGTGTGTGTGTGTGTGTGTGTGTGTGTGTGTGTGTGTGTGTGTGTGTGTGTGCGTGCAATGGATTTGACTTTGAATAATTGTCTGATGTTTATCTAAATGTGAATAATGATAATAAGAAAATATGTGTGTTTCTGATAGAACACAGAAACCTTTTACTGATATTCTTCATGTCTATATATTTATTCATGTATTTCAACTAGAACTGTAACTAAATTGATTCATGAAAGACATCGACTGGGTGTCTAGCGCATATAAAGATGTCTCCATTATGTAAAACACACCGTAGCTCTTCATCAGAGCCAAAACTGTGCTTAGATCCTACCACGAGACATTTTAAAGGCCAAAAGCGGTGTTTTTAAAAAAAAATATACCGTATGTGTGTGTTTATGTGTTGCTGTGCATTTGTATATGTGTGTCTGAGTGGCAGGTGTGATTGGTGCCTCAGGCGTTGTTGTTGCATTGTAAGGCTGCACGCTCCAGTAACACCCCATTGTCCGGAGAGTTTCAAGCATACACATTCACACACACAACATATATACACACACTGCGTCTGAGACACCTGCCAGCACAGCTTGAAGGTTAACCATTAGCCACCAAGCAATGAGGCAGAACAGCTGGCTGTTCTCCTCAGGTTTAGTACACTTAATTTCTGCAGGAGTGTTTTTTTTTTTTTGCTCTTCTGTGAGTCCTGCAGGATTGTCTCTTCAACCTTTTTATCCATCTCTGCATGTTTTATTTTATCTGCTTTTCCATCTAGGGTCACTGGGGTCTGGAGCCTATTCCAGCTAACATTGAGCGAGCCAATTTAGAGTCACTAATTAACTTAACATGCATGACTGTGGACTGTGGGAGGAAACCGGAGCACACAAGAATACTCACGTAGGCACAGGGAGCACATGCCACCTCCACACATAAAGGATCAAACCAGCCAGCAGGTCTGAACCAAGAACCTCCTCGTTGTTAGGTGACGGTGTTTAAACTGCACCTCCCTGCTGCCCCCACTTTTTGGAGTTTAAGGAGACTTTCCTTATTCCGCTGTGCTTTCTAGACCTACAGACGCATGTTTTCATACAAATTTGCACGTACACTGAGAGCTTGTCAGCACAAGAATTAAGAAAGAAAATTATAGTTATGATTGTTACATTCTCCCAAAAGTTCAGGGGATGTTAGGAAAATAAGAGTGCTCTAGGGGAAAATCTATGGCTTAAGCAAATAAGACAACAGCTGTCAGGTCAAGATGTGACAAACGGAAGATATTGTGGTGACTGTCCAGTTCAGTGGTGATAAGCAAAAGGCCTAGCTGCTTTTTATTCTTCCTGCTTTTGTGTAAAAACAATGCAGAACAGTTCTTAACACAGTTGTATTCAAGAAATGAACGTGAATTTGAATAATCTAATAAAGTTTTAGCATAAGAGCGTAAACACATTCTTAAATTCACATAAATCACAATGAAATTTAGTGTAACTTTCCTTGAATCCATTCATTAGCTCAGTAATGATATATGTCAGATTTTATTGTACATATTCAAACATCATCTCACTATAAGCTCAATAGGCATATGTAACAATACAAATTTTAATGTTAAATATACCTGAGAGGTCAAAATGTCATCATTAGGTGAAAAGAACTGCTGATGATGTGAAGTGAGATGATATTTTTTTAACTTCAATGTGATTGATTGAGGCGACTTCCAGTTACAGTGCAGGATAACAGTGATTGACCTATGAAAGGCTAATAAGTAGACTAGAGGATTACCAAGGCAACTAGCCATCAGTGACAGTGATGTGCAGTAAGCGAATTTCTTCCTCTATGGATGGAGTTTAACTCCAAGACACTCCAAGACACTGGTGCTGTTAGTTTTCCACAGTGCTTAAGAGCGCCTGCTGAGGGAGAAATGCTAAATCCTTCAAAGTAAAAGCCCAGATATTTCTGGTTAGCACTTCCATGTTGGATTGCGTTATACTACAAGATAGCACAGTGTGAGTCCAGCTGGATGAGTGATACCTTGATTTGGTCAAACTTTTAAATTGAATGGCCTCAAATAAAAACAGGAAATAAAATACAGGAAGACTGTAGGTTTTTATTAATAGCTTAGAGAAGCTGCTAAGCTGCTGTTACCAATAAAAGGAACAAAAAAAAGCTTGAAACCTGAGAGAGAGGATAAGTTAACTAGTCAATCCAAATAAAAAAAAACAATAAAATAAAAAAAGGAACACAAAGCACACACTCCTTCAACCAGAGTGGTAAACATCAATAATCACACAGCCCAAACACTGCTTCAAGAAAGACATTGTGGCCTCCTCCTCTTCGTCCCTCACATTTACTCTTGAGGCTCATTGCTGAGTGGAGTCAGCTGCGCACAAAACGCTGCCTCCACAGAAATAGAGGTGGTACCTGAAACGGGAGGGAGAGAGGGCAGCACCACACACCCACACAACGAAACACAGCAGACCTGCTGTAGCTTTAACAGTAATGGTAAATCTCAATATTTTGTGCTAAATGCTGTTTCATAAACATGACAGTAAATGGCTTTTGACCAGAGGCTGGTTACAGTTTCCTTTTTTTTAGCAGTTTGTCTAATGCTTAAGCAAAGAAACAAAAGCAAAACCCTCCTCTCTTGCTCTCTGACCTCTTAAACTATGAATTTTAACTTTAACCACTGATCTGAGACCAGTAGTCAGACAGACATTGCACAGCAGACTCTCTCATGATTGTTCAGTCTAATTGCAGCTCCTTAAAAACCTGTGGTTAACATGCAATTATCCGCTGTTTGAAGACATGGAGATGGTGCTTGTGTGTCTGTGCTTGGAAATGCCCGTCTGTAAAGGTGTGAGCTGGTAGTTTTTGACTGCACATTTCATGTTTGGGTTTTTGGGCTTCTAGTGTAATACCAACTGGCAAGGAGCATACACATCAGTCTGCCAATGTGCGGGGGAAGACAGTTGTGTTGTTATTTGGGTGTGATTTAAATTCTTTAAACTGTATTAAATTGTATGCCATGGATTACAAAAAAGCCTCTTCTTTCTAAGCCAAAAAAGCACGACGGATGAAAAGGGAGTCTCACGATTACAATTTTTTGTTCCAGCATTTCAGGTGCTGTCTCATCTTGTTTCTAAGCCCTGAAAAGACCACTGTCTCCTATGGAGTCAAATGCAGACTGCAGCAATGCCAGCATTGTTGTGGATCTCAGACTACATAGCACTTAACCTTCCCTGCGCTCTTAACAGAGAGACATTGAGAAGCAAATGGAGACGGCATGGAGCGCTGATAGCATCCAGGGGACAGATGGTGCCTATAGGTTTCAGGTCTATCTAGAGGTCATTATAGGGACTATAAAACAGAGTCTACCGTCATAAACTGGTCTATATCAGTTTACTCTGGTCTGTATTAGATACCCATTTATCATGGTGTGATATAATAATGGTTGTCTTTGATTTTCAAAGGGTGATACTTTGCAGATGAGGTGATTAGAAGAAATATACGTGCCTGCAGCTTAAGGTGGGCTCTGTTCTGGCTTCCCCGCTGATTGGGTCAAGAGGACATAGTATTGTAAGGTCTTCACCTTACAATATAAAGCGCCTTGAGGCAACTGCTGTTCTGATTTGGCGCTATATAAATGAAACTTAATTAAATTGGAGAGGAATGAGGTTTCCTAGAATTACATTATCAGTGAAAGCACTGCCACGATGTTATCTAATATGTCATGGTGCAATTTGATATGTCTGGATCTTCCCATGATAACGTCATGTTTGTTTTGTTGTGCAGTGCTATAGAATCACATACAGACCTCAGTTTATTGCAAATATTAATAATGGAAAACTGATGATTAATGTTGCCTCTGCTGAAGGTAATACGCTGACAATTTTGCAATTCGAGTCATATTGCAGTTGGTCACCGGTGAGGTATGTGAATCTGTTTATTACCATCACCACTATAGATGCACGCATTCATAAACAGTACTGTGAGGGTTTCATGTTACACAGCATTTCAATAGCACACCCACCACGAATCACCTTGATGCCATTTCTTTCTTTGTGTAGGTTTTCTTTCAGCCGTTACTTACATCATCTATGTTGACAGCCCCTGCAGTCGGTCTGTGGGTGCGTGTTTACCCAGTATTTTTCTGTAGATCAGGGTTTCCAAAGCACTTAGGCACTTATCCTTTTGCCCTCCACTACATGCAGTCCTATCGTTGCTGTGACTCGGTGTCATGTTCCCAAAAGGCTTCTCCTAGACTTCCTGTGGGTGTGTGGGGACCTATAGAGTACAGTAATAAGAGTGGGAATGATACTTTTGCTTTCAGCCTGCTCGGCAGGATTTACCATTTACCATTGCTAAATGTGTTGTCAAGTCACATACCTTGTTTGTTGTAATGCATGAAAAATAAGGTGGCTTTATTATGCTTGCCAAGTTTTTTAAAAAAAAAAACCCTCCAAAAAAACATTTACCTGAGAAGCTTTGTTTTGCTTGATTAGTCTGACCAACTGTGTCTCCTCCTAACCACAGTCTGAATCCAGCCAGGACTTAAATTTCCTCCTGCACAATTAAAACAAAACAAAACAAACCATTAGTCTGAGCTTTAGCTCTTAGAAGCTAGTATTATGGTTTTCTGAATGTACACATAAATGTCTATGTGAGAGGGGTTATGGGAAACTGGCAGTTTCAGAGAAGAAGCTAAATAGAAGCAGCTAAACTCTGCAGCCTTCAGCACCATTGTATGTTTTATTGGAGCCTCCAATCAAAAGCAAAAAAGGTCCAATCACGGCCTGTAACATCCTGGTTTCACAGCTGCCCGATCTTGGTGAACAATAACCCCGCTCTGTGGCGTTTCCCCACTTTTGGTCTTTCACATGCTTAAACAATGAAGCTTCAGCCTATAAGGAGCGAGGGTAAATCTTGTCACAAAGGGGGTATCGATTGGTAAAAACAATCTGTCAATGTCTCAGTGAAAAGTAAGTGTGTGTGTGTGTGTGCTACAAAACAGGGGACTGATTGATTTCTAATCTACTTAACTTGACACATTGTGGAGCAATACGTCCGCTCTGCAATTCACAGCCTGTAAGTAATCGAGTTGCGGACACCTGCTGTGGGAATTAACTCAATAAAGTTCTGTTTAAGTTTTGAACAGACTTGATCTTTTCTTTGTCCAAATCTCATATAATTTGACAAACTGGCTAACTCTATTATTTCTCCATTTGTCTTTCAGATATTTCCAGGATTGCCTACTACACAGGTAAGTAGCTGACCCACAGTTGCCATAGAAATAGCAATTGGATAACATCAATTTAACCTAAGATATTGCTTTTAAGTTGCCTCTCGGTTTTTATTATTATTTACTCAAAGATAACATTTCGCATGTGTTATCTGTATTATTTTATTCCCAAAAGGTAATGGCAGTGGGAATGTAGCAATGTATTATTGTATGATATGACCATAAGATATATATTATATCATCATATATTATTTGTATTATCCTATTTGTGGTCTACACAGTTATTTATTCAGAAAACAGAAACATGGCATCCTATTATAGGCATCCTTGAAGGAAGTGCACAAATATACATCGTCAGACTCTGTGCTTCTGCTAATGAACAGCTGAACTAGTAGCAAGTGCTTATTTGAGTCATGTTTGTGATTGTGTAAGACAATTAAAGAAGACGGAAAACAGAGGGGGACTATTTATCTGTGCGTTTGTGTCGACATGTTGGCCTCGTTAGTGAGCAGGAGTGAGGAAGAGAGTGAGAGGCTGTGTGTCAAATTAGAATATTCACACTGCAGACAGAAAACTTGAAACAACAACCCGAGGGTCGGGCTGCACGACTGTGGCCAAAATGATTATCAAGATCATTTTGCTCAGTATTAGTACCCCAATTATTTATGAGTTTATGAGTTTTTGTTGATTTATAGCGACTAAAACATTTTCATTGCACTGTCAACATAAAATTAGTCCTCCTTATTCACCTAAATGTAATGTATCGTGTAGAAAGAAAAAGATAAATAATTTAAAAAACGAAATGAAATCAACAACGCTCTGCTCCCGTTTTTATATTTTTGATAATCGAAACGTCTTACAAGTTTCTAATAAAGTATTTATTTACTGGATCTAAGTACATCTCCTATGTTTACGTTTTCCTGAAGTCTCAATTGCTCAGCGTGTTTGTTAGAGACATCTTTGTGCAGATGCAACTGTGTTCATGATTTCGGTGCGTCTTTGTGAGCTGGATGGATGCACTGCTGCGCTGTACAGATTTTTATGAATATCTGAGTTGACATTGGAAGATTCATGTTGGTACCCACTTCATGTTTTTCTTGGCCTTCATCCATTTGGTGTACTGGAGCTAGTGCTGTGTTTTGATTTTGTTGAACAAGTTAAGGTGTCATGCTTTATGGTGTAGGCTCTACGGCGCTCTTTGCACGTGATTTGATCCTAGTTAACATGACTTGTGCTAAATCTAAAGGCAATAATCCACTTCCACGGACAAACTCTTCACCTTCTGCAGTGCTAGATATTTGTTTAATTTCGACAGTCTGCTATTTGTTATTCCAGAAAAATAAAAGCTGCGCTGTGCAGGGAACAGCTGCGATTGGCAGATGCAGGCATGTCGTCAGGCAAAGATTTAGGGAGCGCTTTATTTGCTTTTCCTTGGTTTGCTTTTGTCGATTATGTTCGTTTAATTCTGGGAGGCCAAAATCACAAACAAGATTAAAAATCAAATTAATTGTTCGGGCCTACCTTAGGAATTACTGCAGATTAGTGCTGCGTGTCCACAAGCTACACAATTAGCTCTTTGTCTGGCTTTAATCCCCTCCACTTATCATCTAGACAAATTAATTTATCAGATGATGTTACTTTTTATTTCTCAAAGCACCGACGTTTTTGTAACATGTTCAGAGCTTCCCTCTGGAGCATAGCTTAACAATGCTCATGGTCAGGTGTGAGGAAGTAAGAAAAATGAAAAGGAAGAAGAGTTGGTTGGACCGCATGTTTTTAGAATGACACCAGTGTCTTGTGTTTTATTTTAACATATTTATAATATAATAGTATAATATATAGTATAATTTTTGGACATTTTATTCATGCTCTAATTTCGGTGTAATCATCTAATTAGTCTAATCATTAAGTCACTTTATTTTGTGTTTGACAGACAGACGTCTGTAGTACTGCCTAATAACTGCTCTACAGATGAACAGGGGGAGCTTAAACGAGTTAATGAGCTGTGACAAAGTAAAAGATTGTGTGGAAATTGCAAGCAGAAAATAATTTGTGTTTAATTCATGAGGTAAAAATCTAACGTGTTTGAAATTCAAAGCTCTTCACCTTCAAGGCATCGACACAAACACGCTGATTGTTCGCTAATAAAACATCACCACATCAAAGTGGATAGTGCAGATCTGAGGTTTACCTGCTGCTTTCAAATGTTATTTACATTAAGTAGGTAGTGGGTGCTGTGCTTCCCTCCTGTGCTTAAAAAACATGTTCATAAGCACACAGCACAATATGAACAGAGACTTTGGCTCAGGCCCAAAAAGCTCTTCCCATTCATGGCAACATCCGGCCCCCTGACAAAAGGCTTTCAATAGTCCACACACCCACATCCACACTCTAACCCCCTTTCCCATTTTCATAACAATGGCCTATGCCTGAGATGGGCCGCAAATTATAGGAAACTCACACGTGCACACACACATGCACACCCAAATGGCTGCTCAGTTAAGCAGCTTTAGGACTAAGTGGCGAAATCTTAAGTTTTAAGCTAATTTAAGATTTTGTGAACACTTGTGTGTTTTTAGTATTCAGGCCTGTTTTTGTTCTTCAGGTGAGATGTGTTCACACATAATTAAACATTTTTAAAAAGCCCATAATTTGGATGTTTTCGTGCAGCTAAACATTTTCTCCAGTGTTAGTACACCCAGACTTTGCCAGCTGGGTATGTTTTCCAACTTGCTGGCTGTTCTGTAACACAATATTCATGCAGCATAATCTGTGAGATTGCTCCTTTTAATTCATTGCTCATTTAATACAAATATTTTCAAAGCCAAAGTAATATTTTGGGCACTGGCTTAGTGCCACATAAGTGACCACGTTTAGTTGAGCACAGCCTTTGTTAACCAGCTGTATCCCTAAGGTATACAGATGCAGTACAAACATGGATACCTGGTAATTAGTGCTATTTACCTAGAGACTAATGAAATGCTTGAATTTCACTCACCAAAACTTTTTGAATGTGCTGTAACTCACATCAGGCCATTGTATTTAGTGGATCATTTAATTACAAATGCTCCAAAACCAGTTGAGAGGTCCAGTTCAGCGACTTGAATTACTTAAGGTGAAGACCAGACCAAAATGGTGTTTTATACCTGGTTATAAACATTTTTTGTTCTCATGTAGTTTGGCTTTACGGAGGGAGATCTGCGGGGTCCGAATCGCTTCTAGAGCCAGCCTCAAGTGACTGTTTTTGGCACCTCGACGCTGACTTAGTTTTTCAGCCAAGGTTGCCGCTTGGCTGAACATAGAAATTCAAAGCAGTACTTAACAAGCAGCCTGATAGAGCTGGGTATGGGGACACTTTATTAGGGATAGTTGGCAGGGGAGCTCTGAGGGGCTTTTTGTGCAGTGTGGAGTGTGATCTTCTGAAAACCTTGTGATTGAAGTGGGTTGCTTTGCCATATTGGGTGCAGCTGCTAGTTTACAAACTGGGAACAGTGTCGGTGGTGGAAGAAGGTTTTTTTTTTCTCTTTATAAAATAAATAACATATTTGTGTTTTTTGTTGTTTGGCTGTAACGGTGGTTTATAAGAAATAGAGTTCAGGGTGGTGTTGTGGTTGACTGAGCTTGCAAGACCCTGCATGAGTGAGGTCATGTATGCCATTATGAAACGACAGTATGAAAAGGACTTTAAATTCTGTTAATGAAGATATAGTTTTCTTTTTTATTGAATTTAAGTAATATTTATCTCCTCTCTTCAGTAACACATGCATTATGCTTGCAAGGAGGACTTTCAGAGTTGTTCTAAGGGACTGCTCTTTTGAGCAGTGTTAATATTAGTTCAAGATGAGAACTGTTCTGAGGTCAGCTTGAGCTAAAGTGGGAGGGTTTATTGCATAGAGGGGACAGGATTAGCATATTAATAGTTTCTGGCTCCTCCTACCCCTCCAGCAGCCCTCTCTGGAGCGCTCTCATTCCCCACTCAACTTTCTTTCTGTTGCGTTGCTCTGTCCTCTTTTACTTCTCATTCACCTTAAAACAATTGCTGCATTTCTCTCTCTTTCTCTCTCTCTCTTGGCTTTGTTTTTTCTTGGTCAACTTTTTTCTCTTACTTTTGTTTCCAAGAGAAGATCTTTTTTTTTTCTGACTGAGCACAGTAATTGCCTCTTGGTGTCTGACCACTAGCTAACTGAAGGTCCTCTGGATGCGCACTATTCAGTTGGATTTTTGGCTTTAAACTTTTTGCTCCCTCTCAACAACTCGGGGAACTTCGCTGAATGAAATAAGCCGAATTCGAAAGCCTCCTGACACTTCCAAGGCAACTGTGTAACTATGGAGTGCAGGCATGGGGCAGAAATCGGGCAAAAAGCAAACAGTGTGTTGTCATCAGAGAGGGGCCGCTGAGGAGTGGACAGGAAAAAAAAGGAGGAGTGAAGTTTGTGGATGAAAGTAACTTTCTGTCTCTGGAGAGGTTTTTTTTGTGTTGTGGAGCTTTTGGATAACAGGAAAAGATTAAGAGAAGACGCATAAACAAGAAGAAACTTTCCCTGATTTTGTTTTTCTCTTGGATTTTCAAACTGCAGACAAATTGTCAGCAAACTACAAAGTATTCATTTTTCAGGATTGCTTCTTTTACCTCTCTATTACTGCAGCTTTTGCCAAGGAGAAGCAAACTTTGTAATGAGAGACGTTTTGTTTTTTCTTCGTCGGAGACGCCGTGCTTGTGTAAATTAGTGTTTGGATTATGAGAGGGTTTTCTTGCAGCTGTGTCAGGAGCTTAGTGTGTTTGTTTAACTCCTGCGGACGAGAACTTCACTGCATGTGATGCGTGGTTGTGAAGCTGCAGGTTGCCTGTCTGTCCTCGACGCGGACAGGCACAGGGAGGGAGAGACATGCGTTTCCATGGCGACAAGTGGCTGTAGCCCCTTCCCCATGTGTTGGGAGAGAGGTATGAATGAAATCTTCTTTCTGCATAGACTCCTCACGCTCACGGTGTGACATCTGACTCCATGGGAACTGCACTAGTGTACAGCCAAAGGTGTGTGTGTGTGTGTGTGAGTGTGTGAGAAAGAGAGAGATCTTAAGAGAGTTTTAATTTGTTGATGTGGAAGTCATCATCATTTGGGACTGGCAGATTAAGTTGGGATCACATTTTCTTACTGTAATGTATCACTCAACTCTTTCCAGTCTCTCTGTTTTGAGCTATCTCAGTGCGAGTGTGCGCGCGTGCCTGTGTGTGCACGCTCTCTCAGGTGTAATTACCTGCTAGCACATATCCATTTTCCCTTTTAATGGATGGGGAGAGGAGACACACAGGAAGAAAGGGAAGTAGAAAAATGGAGCATGAAAGAGATCTTGCTGTCTTTTCTCGCTTCCATGTTGACAACAGCGTGCGCACACACACGCTCTTATGTAGAGAAATTAGTTCTTCTCAGGCATTTCCAGATGGAGTTGCAATGAAATTCCAGGAAGTGCGTCTATGTCCGAACTTTTTATTCAGGAAAAATGGTGTCCTGCGATCCATTGTCTTCTCTGTGTTATAGGCACGGGTGCTTACATAATGAGCCTTGACCTTGACTGCACCTCTCTCTTTATTTCTCTCTCTGGTATCTTATTGTTCATTGTATTGTATCTCAGTGAAAAACAACACATGAAGAATAGATACTTGCAGCACACAGTTTGGAACAACGCAACGGTCTAAGGGGTGTGTGAGAACAAACATGCAACTAATGTAGCAGTGAAACGGTAGTGACTCCATTGACTATACAAATTAAAAATTACACATCACTGTCACTTGGTTATGTGTGCAAATTTTTGACACTGTTACATTTATTGATAAAATAGTTATTTGTAGCCCTGCTTTCACTCAAAGTGGATTAAATTAAAAGTTAAAGTCTATGTGTCTTGACTAGTTCTGAAGTTAGTATTGTTATCTTGAACTGACTGGAGTGAGTACAGGTAGACCTTACTATTACTGGGTTACTTGGTTTGACCCCCTTCAAAACAGCTTAAATTCTTCGTGGCACAAATTCAAATGTGTTTTAAAATTGTTGCTTCACAGTTGCTTCACATTTATTGGCTCTTGTTCCACCACATCCCAAAGGTGCTCTTTTGGATTTAGATCTGGTGACTGTGGAGGCCGTTTGAGTGCAGTGAACTCACTGTTTGAGATTATTTGAGCTTTGTGGGGTGGGGTTTTAACCTGCTGGAAGTAGCCATCAGAAGGTGGGTGCACTGTGGTCATAAAGGGATGGACATGTGTTGTCTAACCGGTACTTTGAAACAATCCCTCACACCATGACACCATCACCAGACCCAAACATTGATACAAGGCAGTATGGATCCATGCTTTTGTGTTTAAGGCAAATTCTGACTCAGCAGTTGAAATCAGGACTCATCAGAACAGGAAATGCTTTTAAAAAAAAACAAACTTCTCTTGTACAATTTTGGTGACACTGTGTGAATTAGATCCTCAGTTTCCTGTTCTTATACAGCAGGGTGGCACCAGGTGTGTCGCTGTAGCTCATCTGCTTCAGGCTTCAACATGTGGTTCATCCACCTTGTAGGAGTCTGACCATTCTCTTCTGATCTCTGAAATCAACAAGGCATTTTTGAAGGAGCCTAGAGAACTGCTGCTCACTGGATATTGTCTCTTTTTCTCTGTTTCTTGTGTGGGAAAATCAGCAAATCAGGAGTTTCAGAGATATTTGAAGCAGCCTGTCCAGGACCAGCAACCTTGTCAGATTCAAAGTCACTTAAATAATCTTTCTTCCTCATTCTGAGGCTCATTTTGAACTTCAGCGGCTTGCTTTGACCATGTCTACATGCCTAAATTCATGGGGTTGCTGCAAGTGACTGGCTGATTAGAAATTTTAATTAATAAGCAGTTGAACCGCTGTGCTTAACAAAGTGGTTTGATTAGTCTACTTAAAATCAGGCTCACACACATTTGTGTTTTGGAAACATATTAGGCTAATTACTCCACACAAATCTACTGTCATGCAAGTGCCCTTGATTGGACGTATGAAATTAGACTAAATGTTAGACCCAGAGAATTATCATTATTCTGTTACAGAAAAAAAACTTTGTTTTTGTTTTTTTTAATGGGAATTGATTGTAAAGATATTTTAAAATATTCAACTATCACAGGATTTGTTAAGTTTAATAATTAGATTACTCCTTATTTAATTAAAGTCTGTTTTTCTCTCCTCTGTCTCTCAGAATATGACAGACACCTAGCAGCGGCAGTGTCTGCAGGGAAAACCATGGCGTCAGCCTACCTGGACCCCAACCTGAATCACACCCTCCTCGAAGGGGCCAAGTCCCGACTGAGTGCGGGGGGATCGGACCGAACCATGGCCGGCTCCGTGGACAGGGTTCTGAAAGTCTGCCATCACTTTGAGAGCAACACAGAAAATAGCTGCTGGTCTTCCAATATAAGATACGGTGATGCAACCGATGTCAGGGTAAGATGCTTTTTTTGTATAGTGTCACAATATTAGGGACACTTTACCATTAACTGAGACACACAATATTTATTTAGAGTAAGAAGTAGTCTTCACAGCAATAATACTCAGTGCTCATAACTCTCTCAGGTCAAAATGTGACAGTTGTCACTCAGGAGTACTTTTAAATTACTTTTTTTTGTTGTTTTTGTGCCATTTGTCCTCATCTCAACGTCCTAGCTGTCGGCACTGTTAAAACGGGCCCAAACGCACTGACAATATTTTGCTTGCTAATGCATGTCACCTCAGGGCACCATTTATGTGTGCGCGTGCTAGTGTAGGTTTACTTAGCAGGATGCTTTTAGATCCACCGCTGTGACGTAGAAACTACCTAGCTCTGCTCAGATTTTATTGGTCATACGTCACTGCCGATCTCCTCTGCTCTCCTTTCATCCCTCTCTACTTCAGTATCTAGGTCAGACCCCCCAGCGTTTTACATGGGAGCACACATGGCTCTGTGAGCATTATTGTGCGCGTGTGTTTGATGTCTGTCAAGTTGTTTGGGTGGGAATGTCACGTTAAATCTCTTGAAGTCTCCGACACAAACTCACGCAGACATAAACTAAAAAATCGATGGTCTCATCCAAAATGTCAGGGAAACATTGGCTGACTTAACAAAGTAAAGCTTTTTTTTTTTTTTTTACCAAAAAGACACAACAAAAAGTTTTGTTTTATTTAAAACATATCAAACTTATACAGGTGTTTTCGGCACCCAGGGACAGCACAGATACATTAGAAAGTAGCTGTGCGTATTTTACCTTCATAGATATGAAGTATTATTTGCACAGTCATCAGTCATTTTATTTCTCTTTTTTCCTCTTTGTCTGCAGGGGATCATCCAGAAGATTTTAGACATCAACAAAGTGCGCTGGACTTCATGTTTTGGCCTGCGGCTCAGTAACGGTCAATCCAAAGACCAAGTGCACTGGCTCCACCCAGATTTGGGCGTATCCCACGTCAGAGAGAAATATGAACAAGCACGGCCAAATGAAGAGTGGAGGTGCAAGATGAAGCCTGTATTTGTAATGTTGTGATAAGAGCCACTACATCAAATTGCAAGCTAGACTGCTGTTATAAGGGACCAGACAGGATCCTCCTATTTTGGATGGGTCACATTTTTTTAATTACTGGGGGATAAACTCAGGTGGAGGAGTTTTAGCATCCCAGGGTCTTACTCACAAGTGAGGGGAAAGTAGAGCAGGAGCCTGAGACAGATTATTGCATCTTTGAAAGTGATGCAGATGCTCAGTGTGAAAGTGTCATTTTCACCTCACCAGTCAGTCTAGATTCCTACCCTAACCTATGACCATGAGGTCTGGGTAGTGAGTAAGGCAATAAAATGAAGACACAAGCAGCACAAATATCTATCTGGCCTCTCCCTTGAAGAACGGGTGAGGTGCTCAATCAGCACTGGACTCAGAGTAGAGTTGGTAGAGAAGGCTGCCATCTATATGAGGTGTTTTGTTAATGTCCTACTCAGAGGAAAGCCTGGATTAGAACCAGGATGCACTGGATACTGGATGCTCTGTTGGCTGGCTTGGGAACACTTGCCTCTGGAAAGATGTAGAGCAGGAAGCTGGGACCAGGGAGGACTGGGTATCTCTGGGTAGACTATTTCTCTTTGACATGGCTACACAGCAGAAATGGATGAAGGATTTGTGGGACTGTCTTCAGGACGGTGAAAATATTTTCGATAGTTTATGAATAAATATGTTAATACAAAGTTATGTCTAAACAGGCTTCTAACGTGTTTTGACATATTGTTTGCCATCATGTGTTTGATTTGTTGTGTCAATTGTCCCCGTTTATGTGCAACAAAACTTAAACTAAACATTATGTAATCTAATTTAAAGTTGATAAAGTTTATAACCAGAACCTCATGAGGTAGATGAGTTTTAGATGCTTGCATGTCTTAAACAAGCCCCTTCCTGGAGGATGTTGAACTTGTAGGTTATGCTTTATAAACAGTTTCCTGCTTGGGTTAGACATGAGTTATTTGGCCTTGTAAAGTCAGTAGTTTCAAAAAGGGCTAGCTTCAGCAGTCTGCCGTATTGTATTTCGAAGCAGAAGTGATTTATTGCAACCGGCATCATGAAAAATTGCGTGACCCGTCTGTCGAATTGTGATGAGAGCCCTTGTGCGCACGGTGCTGTGTGGCTGTAAAGGCTGAGTAGTTTGGATGTTAATGCTCTGGTATACATTACCTTTATTGTGGCAGTCTTAGTGCTGATTCTATTGTGAGGTGGAGACCTTTTGCTCGGTGGACATAAAGAGGGAGACAGAAACAGATGCCTGCTTTGTGTGACTAAGTCAACAACTATCTCTCTGTCTGTTTCTGCTACACTGATTTTTACAAGCACTCCTCTCATTTGCATTCTTGCATCTTGCGCTTTTGTAATCTCCCTCCGTCCCTTGCTGATTCTCCTCCTTCTGTTCACCCGCACATCTTTATATTCACATCACAAATAATCCTTACATTAGTGTAATGTAGTGATGTCTGTCTTCTTTCTCTCCTCCGTAGGTATGAGTTAAGAATCCGATATCTACCAAAGGGCTTTGTGCAGCAGTTTACAGAAGACAAACCTACTCTCAACTACTTCTACCACCAGGTACAAACACAAACAGATGCACAAGCACACAAGAGACACCCAGACACCCAAATATATTTCATTCCCTGCCAGCAGCTAGCACTAACGCATATGGCACCTACTAGAAGACACCCTGCAAGTGTGTTTTTCTTTGGATAATCTAGGTCAGCAGGATTGCCTGTATGTGTGTGTCAGGGAGATGACCCTCCATTTGTTGAGAAGTAAATGTCTTAATAAACACCTTTGCGTATTTGCATGTTTCAGGTGAAGAACGACTACATGACAGAAAACGGAGATCAAGTGGAACAAGATGTAGCTCTCAAACTGGGCTGTCTCGAAATTAGGTAACACAATGTACTCCACTGCTTTTGTTTCCATTTCTTCACATGCAGATTGCTGTTTTTTCTTTTAATATCAAAGAATAAAAGGTTCAGTCCAAGTATTAAGCGCTCTGTTTCCTTTGTTGTTGCTGGACGAACAATTTAAAGTACAGTTTGAGTTGTTTTCTTCACCATTGCAGAATGCACAGTCTGTCTGCCCGTCAGCTACACTGATAATTCTTGCCAACATTAGTCAGTTTATTATTCATTGTGCAAAGCAACAGCAGTTTTTGCATTTTATTGAAAATGAAAAAAAATGACCTCACTCTTTCTCTCTTTCTCTCTCCCACTGGATTCATTTCTAGGAGGTTTTTTAAAGAGATGAGAGGAAATGCCCTGGACAAGAAATCTAACTATGAACTACTGGAGTAAGTATTATCTTCATAAGCAAAGAGTTCCAGGAGCACAGTTCGGCTCCCAACCTCTCTGGTGCATCAGTCCATCCTAATCTCATCATTTCTCTTCCTGGAAACGTGTTTTGAAACACCGCTTTCAGAGCTACAGATCAGAAAAAGTAGCACAGTGTATCACTTTTTGGCAGAGGAAGTTTCTCTTGACTTGACTAGAAACCTGGATTAGTGCAAAAGAAATTGAATAGATTTTAGGAAGCGGGAATGTGAGCAACTGCAAATTGAAGCTGAGTATATTTGCAGTCCTTGTTGTTACATTTACGGGTATTAAAGAGGAAACCGTTCTATGTTTTTCACTCATGTTATCTCAATGCGTTGTCCCACTGTGGATTCTCTGAAAGATGGTTGAAGAATTTACAAAGTGAACTCTAAATGAGGCTTGGCTCTAACTTGGTGTGACTCTAATGAGCTGTCCTCTTTCGCTCATGTCTTTCTTTCTTTCTGCCCGTCAGCCTAACGAGCTCTCCAATTAATCCAGAGGAATGTTTTCTGTCTTTTCTTTGTCTCTTCTTCTCATTCTCTGTCTCTCTGCACCATGTTCACTTCCCCTATTTTTATCTGGTTTTCCTTCTGTGCTCTTCCTCTCTTTGTTTTGTCTCCATCGTTCCCTCGCTGCCTCTCTCAGTTGATTGGAAAAAGATGTTGTCTCATGCATATTTTAAACCAACAAGAGAGCGAGATGGAAAGAGCTACTAGGGCTTTGATACAGGAAGCTGACAGTTGGCCATCAGAGCCTGCTGGGCCCTTTATGAGCATTAAGCGCCAAAAATGTATAATGCGCTTTGGGTAATGTATGGCGCTGTTGGCTGTAGTTGATCCATGTTGGCCACCGTTTTGGATTGCTGGCAGAAAAGGCAGAGACTTCTGTTCATCTTTTAATTAGAGTTTTTCACCTCTGCTGCTTCTTTTTCATCTTCCATTAGAAACATTATAACAAGTATAATTATCAGGTTTCTTTGAAGAGATTTCTTATTTGACACCATTTATGCCCAATCAGAAATTCACATATTTTTGGAAACTTTACCCTTTATGTGTTTTCCTTTTGTACATATTTTCCCTATAAATGGTGCCGAGTATTCTATGGCTTGACCTGTAAAAGGTCTCTATATTGATTTTTTTTTTCTTACATATACAGTTGAGATCTGAGAGATCTTACATCTATCAGTGGTCTTTGAAATTCTTCTACATCTTGATTCAAATCCACACGTGTAATTTGAATGCATTGGATGTAGTTGGAAAAGGCACACATCTGTCTTTTAGGTTCTAACAGTTGGTGTCAGATGTCAGAAAACCAAGGAAGGATGTGGAGATAAAATTGGTGAAGAGCTGGTGAAAAACATAAGAATGCCCAAGAGCATGAAAGTCGTCATCATTCCCAAATGAAAGATGTTTGGACCACCGAGGGCCGTCCTAGATCACACAATGGCAGAATCCGGCCCCAGGGACTGAAATGGCACCCAAACCCTCTTAGCATGGTCTGCTAGGGAAGCAAAATAATCCCCCAAAATAAACAAGAGGCTGCCTTATGCTCAGGAAATTTAGGGGAAATGACAGATGTGGGTCTTCAGTGCGGTTTGATTCAATTTCAAATTAGTGTATTTGATCGGTGGCCTCTGTGTGTGGCCATATGAGACAACTGCGACACAAGATGTAGGCTAATCTAGGTGGGCTGGTGTCGTTTTTACATGGAGTTTTCTTTTATGTTGGTTTTATTTTTAGTCATCAAATATTTGGCCTTCTGCTTATTTAATCTAAGTCAGTTTGGCTCTCTGGGGAGGGAAGAAAAGTTGGAAGTCATTATCCATCAAAGCCTCATGCAGTCATTGTAGCCAGAGGTGCTTTAACTCGATATTACTTTTGAGATTGCTCTAACACATTACACAAATGTGAAAAATCGAGTAGGTCTGCACTGTAAGCGTTTTCTCTCATTGGAGCCACAGAACATACAGTAATGTTCATGTAAACGGTCAGCTGGTTGCAGTTGGCTGTCATCTTTGTGGAGCCCGAGCAGTGCTGTTTAATCAGTGGGCCTTTGTCAGGGCTCGTTCTCTGAGGTCAGCTTGATTATATAATTTCTGTCTGTGTGTATTTCTCGTTGCTCCTGTGATGACATGCCTTTGATTTTGAGAGAACTGTTTTAGAGAGGAGTTTCTTTCATGGTCATTTTCTAAAAGAAAGTTTAACAATCTGGGAGAAGTTCTGAAAACTACATTTTTATATTTTTAATTCCTGTTTCAGACTTTTTTTATTTTAATTCTAATTTGACATTTGACCTTTATTGGGGAAACAGGAATAGGAAAAGGGGATGCAAGCTTCCAGCCTTTCTCCCACTCTCTTCACTTGTCTTTTCTCCTGAGGGGTATGAGTCATTAGCCAACTTCCTGTTAAAGCTCTGCTCATCTTTCTTTGTCTCTGTGGTCACCCTCTGTGCAATTCTTCCTGCAACTCTCTCTCCCTTTCTGCCTTCATTGGTTTTCTCCAACCCCATCTTTAAAGGAAAAGATGAGTAGTGTGCTGTTGTCATCACTTAGTCATCGCTTTCGGTTTCTTGTCTTCTCTTGCCTGACAATTTAACTGTATCTGTCTGTGTCTGCTTTTGGCAATACCCCAGGAGAGGATGAAACACGCATCTGAGATCAGATAAAGACAGAAGTGCTTGCCAATTAACATTCTTCTTTGTAATTACACCACGATAAACATTCTGATGTTTTCTTCCTGTCTTTCTTTTTTCAGGAAAGACGTTGGTTTGAGGCGGTTTTTCCCAAAAGACCTGCTGGATTCAGTTAAGGTGGGTTTCATGTCCGTGTGGAGAGCTTGAGTTCAAAAACAAGGTCAAACTATTGATCTTGCAAACTTGGGGGCTTTACACACTGAAGGTCACAAATTTGTGCAAATATTTTTCAGAATTATTTTTCCGAACCAAACTCGATTTTTCAGATCCAAATAAACAGATCTGACCAATCAGAGCGCTGCATCTGGCAAAAAGTGGCTCAAAACGTGCAATGGTACTGAATATACACTGATATACGTCAGACACCCAGCTATACACTGCTCCAGGGCAGTTAGGTCTCTGAAATTATATTTCTCTGCCTCCTCACACGTGGTCCCAAATATGTATGAAATGGTCGTGATACAGCTTCAACTCCTGGATCTAAATCTCCCTGCAGGTTCCTTCTCGTGAGAATTGGATGAACCCAAAATTTTCTTGTTTAGAAATATCAGGACCTTAATGTCATTCCCATTTTTGACACGTTTTTTTTTTTTGGAGGACAAATTTTCTGCACAAACCCAGTGTGTTTGGTGTGGATATTCGTTACACTGCAAGTCTGGATGTGAAATATTGTGTATTTCCACTGGTATTGGAGTATCGGTGTGTAGTTTTATTAGCAGATTTCTAGTAGCTTTGTCTTAGATTTTTCTAATGAGCTATTTGATGTTATCAGACATTGTGAGGTCCAGCAGATTAAATGTGAAGCAATCTAAGAAAATAGAGAAACATTAGAAAAACATTCATAAATTATGAAGTAATGAGATGAACGTTGTTTTTAACCACAAAGAATAATTTCTGCTAGGTTTACACTTGCTCAAGTATCGTATATATCCCAGTATACAGTTAACCAAGTAGTCAGCAGTTATTGAAACTACTACTGCGTACTGATGTGCTACTCAATGATTCAATGAGGTCAACTTACCGAAGTAACAGGAAAGTATGACATATTGTGTATTATAGTTACGGATTCCTGTTTCTTTGAGAAGACCTTTTGGTTGGCTGGTCGTATGTGGTGGTGGTGCTTCTTGCATATTGAGCAGCGTCTGCGTTAGTGATAAATTTACGGCACGTGTTTATGAGAATGGTCTTGGTGTGTGTGTGTGTGAGAGAGAGTGTGAAAGGCCCGGTGACCCGAAAAGGTCTTGATGTCAGCAGGCGGGGAAGACAGATGCTCTGCAGGAGAGAGAGAGACCGTGTGTTCATTCTGGTGTATGTCTGTGATGGGTATGCGTGACCCTCGGGTCATGTTTAAACCCACTTTCTCTCTCCAACAATGAAAAGGGAGGGGGAGGTGTCAATATACATCTCCTTCACCCCCCCCCACCCCACCCAAAAAAAAGAAAAGAGGTCTGTCAAGCCTTGTTGACTCCTCTCGTCTCTTTTTCTGCTCCTTTGGCAGACGTCACAACACTCACTCCCAAGAGGTCTGTTTTATAAGCCGCGAAGAGGCGCACAGTGACACACATGTGCAGTCAAACATCAGTAAATTGACTCAATTATAAACGTCTCCACAGAATATTTTATTGCAGTGTTTATAATTTGTGTGACCACCTGATCTTAATTGATGCATAGCTGAAAGAAAGGACTGTTTACTTCAGAGAGACGGAGAGAGCTGAACAAAAACAAACTAATCAACAGAAAATGAATCTCTGGCTAATTTAATACCTGGTAAATGTTTTCAGTCTTATCCTCACTGTAAGAATTTTTCAATAAATCTTGGGGGGGGGGGACTACTTTCTGTTGAATAAATCAGTCACTTAGTAGAGGGGGGAAACTGGGGAGAGCTTAAAAAATACAAAAAAGCATCAAAACACACGAAAAAATATAAAATATATGTAAGCTTGGTAAGTGGCTGCCACGATTGGTCTTTTAAATACCATTTTGTTTCTTGCAGATTAATCACATTTTTGACTAGTGTTGCAGTTCTGTGTTTAATCATTTATATAATATGTACTGCCAGTTAAATGCAAGAGGAGCTGTGGCATGCTCACATGCTGCACATTTGTGTTAGTGTTTGTGTGAAACACAGAGGGAGCGAGCACAGCTGCCATTTAGGTTTGTGTTGTTCACTCTGGTGAAAGAGAACTGTAGTCATTTAATGAGATTATTCTCCCTGAATGGACTCTACTCACTCACACACACACACAGACAGACACACACACACACAGACACACTAAACCCAGAGCAGATGGTCGTGATAGTAAACAGTGACTGATGTTATAAAGAGCAGATTCTGTTGATTCACATTGACTGGCCGGGCAGCAGGTTTAGCAAAGCTGACCTCTGGGAGATTTGAAGATCAAAGTTGACCCGGGCTGAACGATTGAAACAGTGCCGCACACTTTATTAAGGATTGGTATGATAAGGTTTCAGGATAATATAAAAAAACCTATGGTCATAGTTGCAATATGTTTAGTAGAAGAAATAAAGAACTTTAGTTGGAAAATTCTTTGACTTCTTAGCGTGTCCGTAAAAACACGTGATTATTTTTAATTCACTGATCTGTATACTATAATACATGACAATGTAGTCATGAGTATATGGTGTATGGTAAAAATGTGACTTAATATTAAGATTTAAAGTTCCAACAAAATATGTACTCCCACAGCTGTGTTGGTTACTCCTTGTTAGTACTGGGTTGGACCCCCCTTATGCCCTGTGAACTACCTCAATTGCTCATTACATAGATTCAACAAGGTGCTGGAAAGTCCTCAGAGGTTTTGTTCCTTATTGAGATGATGATATCACACAGTTGCAGATTTGTTGGCCGTATATCCCCAAGGTGCTGTATTGCATTGAGATGTGGGTACTGTGGAGGCCACCTCTGTACAGTCATTTTAAAAACACAGGTTTGAGATGATTTGAGGTTTGTGACATGGCGTGTTATCCCGCTGGAAGCTGCCATCAGTTGCTCACGCATGATAACTGTTATTTTAGGAGCAATAAAGCAACTTTTTGTTGGTGAATCAGTCGTGCTTCGCAGGGACGAAAAGAAGAACTTTGTATCACAAATCGTGCGTATGGCCAGACTGTTGTGATGCTTTGCTGTGGAAAAACCAAATAGACTAAAATAACACTAAACTGCTCCCAGTGACTGCTAATGAAGTGAACTAGTGTCAGCGAATTGATTGTTTTGTGCGTGTGTAAGTGGGGTGTTTAGATGCAGGTACTAGTGTCCTAATTGGTCAGCCAGTTGCTATAGAGACAGTCAGTGTGTTGATGAAGGAGCTGATAGCCACTCGTGGTACTTCCTCTCAGGAAGGGTGGACACTTTGGACGGACGATATCTGTGTGTTTATGCGCATTTGTGTGGTGGAATTCTAGGAATTAAAACAGTGATCCTATCTGGAGCATGAGGAACACATACTAGATTTTGTAATGACATCTGCTGAAAGGACTCATGAACTCAGGGACTGTGTGTGTGTGTGTGTGTGTGTGTGTGTGTGTGTGTGTGTGTGTGTGTGTGTGTGTGTGAGACAGAGTATTTGTGGGTTTACGGTTTCCTTCAGGCTTAAGTAAACACCT